TCCCTGACGTACGGACATTATAACTCTCCCTGACGTACGAACATTATAACTCTCCCTGACGTACGAACATTATAACTCTCCCTGACGTACGAACATAACTATGGAGCATTATAACTCTCCCTGACGTACGAACATTATAACTCTCCCTGACGTACGAACATTATAACTCTCCCTGACGTACGAACATTATAACTCTCCCTGACGTACGAACATTATAACTCTCCCTGACGTACGAACATTATAACTCTCCCTGACGTACGAACATTATAACTCTCCCTCCCGTAGGAACATTATAACTCTCCATCACGTACGAACATTATAACTCTCCCTGACGTACGAACGTTATAACTCTCCCTGACGTACGAACATTATAACTCTCCCTGACGTACGAACATTATAACTCTCCCTGATGTACGAACATTATAACTCTCCCTCACGTACGAACATTATAACTCTCCCTCACGTACGAACATTATAACTCCCTGACGTACAAACATTATAACTCTCCCTGACGTACGAACATTATAACTCTCCCTGACGTACGAACATTATAACTCTCCCTGACGTACGAACATTATAACTCTCCCTCCCGTACGAACATAACTATAGAGCATTATAACTCTCCCTGACGTACGAACGTTATAACTCTCCCTGACGTACGAACGTTATAACTCTCCCTGACGTACGGACATTATAACTCTCCCTGACGTACGAACATTATAACTCTCCCTGACGTACGGACATTATAACTCTCCCTCCCGTACGAACATTATAACTCTCCCTGCCGTACGAACGTTATAACTCTCCCTGACGTACGGACATTATAACTCTCCCTGACGTACGAACATTATAACTCTCCCTGACGTACGGACATTATAACTCTCCCTCCCGTACGAACATTATAACTCTCCCTGACGTACGAACATTATAACTCTCCCTGACGTACGAACATTATAACTCTCCCTGACGTACGAACATTATAACTCTCCCTGACGTACGAACATTATAACTCTCCCTGACGTACGAACATTATAACTCTCCCTGACGTACGAACATTATAACTCTCCCTGACGTACGAACATTATAACTCTCCCTGACGTACGAACATTATAACTCTCCCTCGCGTACGCAGCATGATAAAATGCCATTAGGCAGTGCCTGGATTATAGCGGCAGCCGGCAGTAAATGCACATCGATGTAAACAACATGTATTAACTTTCCCCTGACGTACGCAGCGTTATTAACTCCCCCTGACGTATGGAGCAGTGATAACTCTCTCTCAGCAGCTGCTCCTCTTGGCGTTATGGAGATGAGAGCAGAAGAAGTGTGTCTTCGCTCTCTGGGAAGTAGGTTAAACAGCTTCTTTAAAAAAAACTCAAAACTACCCGTCAAAAAAATAAAGAAAAATAAATGAGATGACAGTTGGAGGGAGACAGAAGGAGGGGGGAGGAAGAAAAGAGTGAGGAGGGGAGGAAAGGAGGTGAGATAAGAGGAAGAGGCAGAAGGTTAATGAGGCCTGAGAGGGAGGAGGGGGGTCTATTGTTGAGAGGAGGAGGAGGAAGAGGAGGAGGATAAATCAATGTCTGAGCAGAAGGCTGACAGCAGGGGGTCTCTGCAGCCTGTCGGTGTCTACAGGTGTTTCATTTACGTTTTGAGAAGTTTGTAATCGGGAGTTTGAGTCGAGGAAGAATTTAGTTTTACATAAAAACAGTATTTTTGAGATTTTGTTAAAATATAAATAATTTGTTTTTGCTGTAAAAAAAGAAGTAAAATTATAAAATAAATAAATGAAAAATGTAATAAATTGTAACAAAAATAAATTAAACTAAAAATATCATTATTTTTTTTTATTTAAAAAAAAAAAGTTTGTAATCGGGAGTCGTCCAGCTGACCAATCAGAGCAGACAGGGCTCTGGTTTCAGACAGAGGGTGAAAAGAGGTGCTGCAGCATGAGAACAATAAAGAGCTTTTTGAACATTAAAGCATGGAGACATGTAGAGACACTACATACTGATATACACCTGAACATCAGCAGGAGAGAACTCTTTAAAGTAGAGACACTACATACTGATATACACCTGAACATCAGCAGGAGAGGACTCTTTAAAGTAGAGACACTACATACTGATATACACCTGAACATCAGCAGGAGAGGACTCTTTAAAGTAGAGACACTACATACTGATATACACCTGAACATCAGCAGGAGAGGACTCTTTAAAGTAGAGACACTACATACTGATATACACCTGAACATCAGCAGGAGAGGACTCTTTAAAGTAGAGACACTACATACTGATATACACCTGAACATCAGCAGGAGAGGACTCTTTAAAGTAGAGACACTAAATACTGATATACACCTGAACATCAGCAGGAGAGGACTCTTTAAAGTAGAGACACTACATACTGATATACACCTGAACATCAGCAGGAGAGGACTCTTTAAAGTAGAGACACTACATACTGATATACACCTGAACATCAGCAGGAGAGGACT